AAATGTCACTTAGTGAAAGCTCACTGGTTGCTCTTAGGCTGCTTTAACAGAATAAACATGCTTGTGAGCCCTCCTGTAGGTCATTTAATCAAATTCTGCTCTCTTTATTTTTATTTTGTTTACAGCCATGTGTTGAAATGTTTTATACGCTGCCCCTGGATGGATTTCAAGAGATTTATGTTTTGCATTAAACTCTCTAACTGAACACTAACAGCTTCTGTTTTTTATGGCGAGGTGCAATACGCCTCTGTGAAAATTATTTCCTTGTTATCTATTCCTCCACCGAGCAGGCTTTTTTCCCCCCTTTTCTTTTTTTTCGGTTCATGTCGCGTGCTTCGAGTTTTAATGGCCTTATTATATGGGGAGAATAAGTCACTTTAAGCTGTCTGACATTTCCCAAAGTGCCATTTGTTTTAATTTGTGGATGTTTTCCTGGATATATTTTGGATTTAACGAGGAGGGAAGGGGAGGGGCGTTTGACGGCCTGCCGTATATCCCGCTCAGCCGATGCTACTAGATTAGCTTTGGTTAGCTTTTCGGTGGGGAGTTTGCTTTTAGGGATTTCTAAATGTGATAAATGGTTTTTCTGGTTTTGCCGCTTACTTGCACTCGCTTGGACATTGAAATTAAGTGACTGGCAAAAATAGCTTGAATGCGATGAAGCGAGGATGGGATTTGGGTGTAATTTACTGCACATGTAGGTAAACGAGGCCCAAAATTATCACAATATTTTCACAAGAAACTTGGGTAATAATTCCATTAACTATTATTTTTATTGCTTCTAAAATAGCATAGCCCACTGATCCTTATTTATGGTCAATTATTGTTTCTTTTGCTTTGATACGTGAACCTGAGAAAAAATGTCTTCTCATGTTATAATCTGTAGACTAGCTGACATGACAGAACAACTACAACTTGGACAATAGCAACACAGTCCTGGAAAACCAACATCTTTTCCAGAAAGTAGATGTCCAACCTCTGCTTCCTGTTTGTTACAGCCGTACGTCATCAGCGTCAACAGCTGATGACGTACCCTGGTTTCCAAACATTTCAACTGTTCTGTGTCACCGACATGTAATTTGGATGGAAACATACCGACAGTAACGGTGGACTCCTTGCACTACACGTTGCTCTCTCACCCCACATGTGTCTCAACAGCTGGCATCAGCCTTTATCTGTGAGAGCGTGCATCGATATCAGAGCAGAAATGACTGTCGCCAGGATGTCGAGGTGTGGGTGGGTTGTGGGTTGTAGCGTGTCATGTTCAGCGACGATATCTCAGTTTGTATGACTGCTTTGTTGTCTCAGAGCATATGGAAGCAACGGGAGGAGAGAAAACGCCACAATGAGAGAAAAAATCCTGAAGCCCATCCATAGTCAGACGAATAGCAGACATTTTGACGTTACAGCAAAACGGTCGGTGGGTGGTTTGAGTATTTTGGCGTTTGGACAGCTAATGCAAGTACGTTTTCTGTAATCTCACGATGCGTTACATCAGAACCATGTTTATTCATGTTTATGCTCCCTCTCTGTCCAGCATGATGGATTCTTTACATGTGTTCACCGAAGTCTACGAGGCTAAAGGTGCCCAAAAGCGCGCCGACTGTTGCCTCCTTCCCGCTCCGTCTTTGGCCTCTGCGGCTATAAATCAGACAGTCCTGCAGCTCTGGCCCCACTCACTTGCTCACAGTAACCTCCACATCCACCCTACAGGTCTGAGATGGCGGGACAAAAAAAACACATCCATCAACGTGAGAGTGCGGACCTTCCCGTATCAGCCCCAGTGTTTATAACAAGAGCAGTAGAAAGCATGCCACACATTTTGAGCAATTCTCTAATGAATTGTTTATGATTTCTGCATCTGTTAAAGTGTTTTGCAGTCCGTTATCACTTGGCATTCTTCTACTACCTGACTTGTGACGCTTTTATTATCTTCTTGATCGGATTAGAGCTGCTGTCGACACGACAAGCCGTCTGTTGTTTTGCTATTAGCCGTACATATGGTGGTGTGAGTCTGTTTCTTTGTAGCTTGAAAATAACGACAACAAAAAAATCCCACAAGCAAAAGGTTTTGCTCCCTGTGTGGTCAGCGCTGAGCTGCACCGACTTTGCTTGTAAGCCGTGTTTTGTTGCAGACAAGAGGGGGATTTTCATCCATTTTTTATTTATTTTTTGGGCCTGCTGAGAGGTTTCTATTGCTGCGAGATTATTTGACAGCTTTGGTTTCACTGCTCTTGTTTTATTTTTATGTTTTTTTTTTTTTGTCTAGCTGCACATTTTCTAGCAGGCTCAGTTTAGAGGGCTGCAGGGGCCAAAGCTTAACCTCCGGCTGAAGCGATTGTTCGCTATGGATCCTGATTTTCCAGATCAATATTGTAGTTCTGGTTTACATGCACTCGTCAGAACCGTTGCAACAGCTTGCCTGCTTTTCATTTAAACGTTTTTTTTTTTCTTTTGTTTCCCCAGGATAAAGTGATCAGAAATGGAGATTTAATGACTTATAATTAGTGGTGGATCAGTAATTAATTAATCACGTATTAATAAAAAACAATACATCAACAAAATGAGCAACATTGTCGATTCAAAAACCCGTTTTTACTGCTGATTTATTGAATAAATGGACAAACATATTTACTGTTGTTTGCGGATGTTTGTTGTTCATCATCAACACAATCCGGCTCAGGACTTCGTATATAAAAAATAAAGCCCGTTATTACTCTCTGTACTTTGTCAATCGAAATTACAGTATTTATGATGCATTAATTAATGGAAACTTCCTTTTAATGTGGAGTTTTCTTTTCTCAGACAAAATGTAATAGTCAGGCTCAAATGTATACATACACCCACCCACACTAATGCAGAGAACTCACATCCTTCTTTCAGAAATGAAAAACAAAAACTTGTAATGTATATCCATACATTATACAGCGCAGGGCTTATTTGATTGGTTGATTCACCCAGCTTTTCAGTGCAGTTTGTACATTTTCTCTAAGACCCTCTCATTAGTCTAATATTAGCTTCCTCTGTGCTTTGATGCATTTTTGGAGTCACATGCTGTTCTGAATTGTAAATTGAATATGTCAGAAATCTCCACCATCTCAGCCCTCCTTGTATCTCACCACTATAAACGCATAAACACAACAGCTGTCCAGCGAAAACTGGATCTGGCAGACGACTCGCACAGCTCGTCTGCTCTCGTAAACACACCGATACGAGATATTTGTGCGTTTTTTTGTGTTTTTGTGAGCGCCATCCTGTTGCATCGTCAGTCTTCTCTCTGGCTATGTTTCCAGACGATGGGGGGCCAAATGGGCCCCATCAATCCTGAAGTCCACCTCCCTCCCTTTTAACGTTGGCGTATGAAGTTCTGTGAGACGAGTCGCGTTTGGTTACATTTGAGATTTCAAAAGCTCAGTAAGAATCGACAATGGCACAAATACCTTTTTTTTCTTTTTTTTTTTATTCAGAGAAATTATGACTTTGTCAGAATAACGACCAGTTTGTCCGTTTCTCTACCGTACATGTGTAATTTGTCGTGATTTATATCAGGTTTTTTTTCCCTTTAAATCAACACTTTTTTCCCTTTCAATGCACATTAGCATTTTTTTTTTATTTAAATACATTTTTGTCGTTCTTGTTTCTATTCCCAGTTGTCATTCAACTCCCGTTTTAACACAGCGGACAAGAAAAGAAAAGAAAAAGAAAAGGATCTCAAATCTGGTTACCACAGCTGTTTAAGCCGTGAAAGGGACCCTCTGTCCTCGCTTTACAGCTCTAATTGTTTGTCCGGCTTGAGATATGGCAAATCCCTTCATGCTGCACAAACTTTGACTCGGTCAAATCCGTTTAGAGACGAGCACAGAGGATCCCCACGGAGACGTGGGGGGAGAAAGTTCTCCGTCCTGCGTTACCCGATGTGACATTGAAAGCCTCGCCGGTCGGCCCCTCCGGTTTGCCACTTTAAACTTCAGATTTGTAAATGCCACAGTCAAACAGCAGCGAGCATTCAGCTCGGCGCCCCACACGCAGCCGTGTTTGTAAGGGCGTCTGCTTACATCAGCGGCTTTGTGCTTTTCTGTAGGAAACACGCCGAGTCTGGAGCAGGCTTCCTCTGCTCTGGTTATTCCTCTCAATAATAATCAGCCTGCTGATTAGTCTGTAGAAAGGCTGCTTGTTTAGTGTTAAAAAAACAAAAGCAACAAAAAAAAAAATCCCATCTTTTCTGTTACATAGGAGATAATAGAAAACAATGTAACAAAATGGGAGCAATAAAGGCTGTAGCTAATATTTACAGTACCAGGCAAAATCATTACTATGTGAACATCTTTGACCTGCAACAAATGTCAAAGTTTTTGTTTGTTTTCGTACTGGAAAGGCAACTCTGGAGAAACTGTACACATCTGTACCTCATGCTGGCTGCGCTTTCCCAATCCTCGAGTCTGGATTTGAAAAAATGTCCAGAAGAAAGCTGCTGTTGAACGAAGGTCCTATGAAGGTCATGTTTGTAGGTTGGCACGAGCTATTCTGGGAACCCAGCAAACATGTGGAAGAAGACGCTCTTATCGGGCGAGAAGAAAACATGCATTTCTGGCTGTAATCAAAACCCGACGAGTGTGGCTGTGCAAACTGGTGGCAGCGTTGCGCTGCTGATGGTTCCTGTCAAATCAGAGCTAAATACAGGACAATATGGAAATATTACAAAATCCTCTGGGGACTGGGAGTTATTTTCCTACCCTAAAACATACTGTCAGAACTTCAGCGGATTGGTTAATATGAAAGCATGGCCTAGTCAAAGTCTGTGCCTGAATTCTGTGTTCTCATGCTCCATCCAGTCTGATTGTGTTTCAGCTTCTTTATAAGGACAAATGGCTAGAAATGTCAATCTTTAAATGTGAGCAACTGTCAGAGAAAATCTGGTTCTTCTTCATCTTTTTTCACAGGATTATTTTTCCCGGCCGTTCTTCATCCCCTGCTAACGCCTCCATCTCTCTCTCTCTTAGCGCTCAGCCCGTGGATTTCTGCGTTCTTCCACCCCGGCGTGAGAGACTACTCGCAGCTCACCCTTGACCTGACTAGGGATGAGCTTATTGTGGGTGCCAGGTAAGAAACTGTAAATCCACTCAGCTTCTCACCCTACACAGCACATTACTGAGAAACTGATACCCTTTCTGACTCACTCATCCAGCGCGGTTTTCGGATAATGACGCCTCTAACTTGCTCTGCTGAAGCCCCCCTGGACCAAGTTGAGCTTTAGATTTTGGCAGGAGGAAGGAGTTTGAGAGAAATCTGGTCGTGTGCGTTTGTGTGTGTTCTGATGAAAGGATGTGAGCGAAGCTTTGTGCCTGGTTTGGTCTCGTTAGAGTCGTTCACGTCGAAGTAACACGGATTCTTCATGAATGTGTAATACCGCCGACTTCCATTGAACTGAAAACAATAATTTACTGAGCAGCAAAGCAAAAATCACTCAGATGTTTCTTTTCCTTTCTCATCCTCTCTGTCCAGAAACTACCTTTTCAGACTGGATCTCCGTAACCTCTCTCTGATACAGGTAGGTTTGTTTTGTTTTGTTTTTTTGTCCGTGGCTTTCTTTTGCTTATTCTGTCTCTGTGGGTTTGATTCAAGATGTCTGTGGTTTGTAGTCAGGCTGTGATGATATGTATCTGTCTCACAATGCTGGGTTCAGGAGAACAGGATGAACAGAAGAAATAAAAGTTTCACACATCACAGACTGTGTTTAAAATAATAATAAAAAAATCAAGTTGGAATAAATCCTTCACGTTTGACCGTTGTCTTGGTTGAATTGTTATTTTTATGCTTCTCTCAATCTGGAGTGGTCCTAACGCCAGAAGCTGTTTTCACCAGTAGAATACCCAAATTAAATAGTACTTGAAAAATACAGAATTATCCACTTTTTATTATGAATGTCAGTGACAAATTTATGTATATAGCCCTTTTAAAAACTGCACCAAAGTGCCGTGCCAAGACAACGACATAATAAAATAAGTTGATAAAAAGAGAAAGAGAAAATAATAATAATAATTTCATCCTGACTCATTTAGAAAGGGCTTTTATTTAGCAGCAACCTGAAGCTCTGAGGTAGAGGCTAACTTCAGCGTTGCTAACTGCTAGCAATTCATGATATTTTTGCAATGGCATTTAAACTGTTCAAAATGCTGCTTGGCAAACGAATTAAGCACTGACAGCTCATTTAATACGCTTCTTATCATGTATTGTAAGTCATTACAATACATGCCAGCTCTTCAACACAACAGGCCAAAGATGAATCAACAGGGCGACAAACTCGAGACGTGCGTCTCCGTATCCTCACAGCAACAACACGGTTTGATTCGATGAGAAATGTCCAGTTTGTTTCATTCGGGTTGACATATTAGGAGGGTGGAGACGATTGCGACGGAGTGCCTCTTCTCTTCCTGCTTCCTGAACAACCTCTGTTAGTTTTCTGTTTGACTTTCTGCCTACAAAAGGCATGTGTGGAAATGACGACGTGTGATGTTTGCAGCCTGCAGTCGCACGGAGCCCTTCTGCTAAAAATATTCAGTTCAAATGTGTGTTTTCAAGCAAAGGAGCTTTGTTTAATGGGATTTTTTCTTTTTTTTTACTTCAGGGCTGTTATTTCACATGCACAGTTCCGCTCTCTGCTTGAAAATGCCTCCTGAGCAGCATCATTTGGCATGCTACATTTTAGCTCTTGTAAAAACAGGAATCGTAACTGAAGGAAACACCGCACAGAAAATGTCCTGAAAGGAATAGCAGAATATTAGGCATTTTAACTTCAACCATAGCCGTAATATTTGCTGATCGGTTATTTGTAACACAGTGAAAGCATGAACTATGACCTCAAGATTTAGTCCAGGTCTGAATATGAAACACAGATGATGTTCCAGCCTGACGGCGTTTCTCTACATAGTCATAAAATATATTTTACGTCGTCTCAACGATGCGTCGTGTCGGTTTGTGGTGACATCTAGCAGAAAAAGTTTTCAGGTTGGTTTTCAAGCCCTCCAAACTCAGATGAAGCGACTCTACTTTGATTTATTTTAACGAAGCAGATTTTCTGGCACAGTGGAAGCGTTTTAGCTAATGAAACGCACTTTGGGAGGAACAAAGCAACTGGGCTGCATCTCACCCTCATCAGCTGGTATCAGCCAAGAAAAAAAAAAAGTAGCTTTCACCCACTTGCAGTGGAAAATCCAGCAGGTAGTTCAGCCATAAGCGTTTCTTTGTGTGACTCTCTTTTCTCCAGGTTATGACGTATTTTTGACTCATTTGACTCTTAAAGACCAGTTCGACCCAGATCATCACCCATCCACCACCATGCAGACAACTGATTGTCTGCAGATAGGTCTGATTATTGTGCAGATGATTCATGTTACAATCTTTACTTTTATTTTCTCTTTCTGTCCAGCAACATGTTAAAGTTAAAACGATAAATATAAACATTTTCACGTGAGTGAAAATACTTCCTTTTCAAAACGTAAATATGTGTTTTGAAAAGGAAGTTGTCAAAAAAAATGAATTGGTGTTTTTTTTTTTTTTTTTTTGCCATCTCTTCAGAGATGTTCTTTTCTTCTTATTATCCCGCTTCCGATGTCGCTCTAAGCAAATTTAAACGTGGATTTGGGTAAACTGTACCTTTTCAAGACGGCGACGGATGCGACCCGAAATGTGGAACATGCAAAATCCTGCTGCAAAGACGCGGATGTTCAAGATGAGCCAGTAGATAGTCGGAGGTTCCTCGAGTCATTTCCTCGCCACTCTTCTCGCATCCTGAGAATTTCAGATTTAATTGCTTCACTTTGTGTGAAGAGCCAAAAAGATTAAAATTTTAAAAAATAAAAGTATTCGCCACTCGGGCTGCGAAGAAGCCAGGATTCGACATGCACCTTTTTTTGCTCATAGCTTGAATCACTTGGAAAAACAAGGCAGAGACGTTAATATGCTTATTTTTGGCTGATTTTCGTAGCATGTTGCAGAGAGGGTTTAATTAAGCAGCAGAGCTTCATGGATGATTTTGCACATTCTGTGAAAGGTAACACTGGCACTCGGCAGGAAAAAGCTTTGGTATAGTTAGCAGTGTGTGCTCCGGGGGGAGTACAAGGTTGCTTCACTGTTGCATCACACGTTAAAAATGACAAGCCCTGGGTTTCTCCATGAGTCTGTGTGATTTAGACCGAAATATCTCTGCCACCCTGGGAAGAGAATCGCTGTGCAGCCGTGCAGGGTTTCATTCTCTAAATGAATTTGGATGTCTTGCTTTTAGTTTGCCGAACTTTCCCGAGCAATCCCGCTGACGTTTTGCACTGAAATAAAGTCGGCTTGTGACCGGTGACAACACATTTCAAACCGCGCCATGCCCCTTGACCTTTAGGGAAACGTAGAGGTGTGTTGTTTTACCGCCGAACTGAAACCATTACTATGAACTGTGTGCAGGCGTTTGTTTATGGTAAAGAATTCAATAAACCTTCTGCTTTGCTTTTTGACTCCAGCGTGTTTGACCGTATCGTCAGCGCGTCGGACATTAAAGGCTGCGTCGTACGAAGCTCTTGCGTGTTTGAAGAGGAGAGCCGTCTGTGAGCCGCGTTCACTGAGAATAATATAGTTCAGGAATAAACGTATAACACCTGGCTTTTTCCAACACGGAGATGTCAATTTTGTTCTAACCCCAACATCAGCATCACTAAAATCAGTGTTCTCAAATGACAGAGATTCACTTTCTTCTTTGAAAAAAAGAAAAATATGATGAAAATTACAGACTTTCTGCTGGACCTCGTTATGAAGGATGGAAAATGGTTGCATGTATGTTAATATGAAAGCCATTTTTGTGATTTCTGTCTGCTTGAAATGTGTAGTTTTCCCATTAGATGAAAGATACTTCATAATGTGTAATGTGGAAATGATACAATCTCATATTCATTGCCACCATGTGCAAAAAAAGTAAAACCTTCAAGCAAATTCCTGCACAGTGAGTAAGAGGGTTCGGTTTTAAGTCACCATGTTGTCTCTACGTCAACCAGTTGTTTAAGAGAGAAAAAGCTTTTTGTGTCCTATCATCACAAACATAAACATTTCGAGTTTTTCTAAAGCTTTAAGTCAACTTGAGGCCTTCGATAAGAATAAATAAAACTGAACTATTCAACAAAACATACTTGTTTGTAAAGGATGTGGACAAACCCCAGCTGATATGGTTAAGGACCTGTCATGCTGTGGGCCTGTTTCCCTGGAAACCATCCTGGAATACATGGCAGCAGTGACTCTTTGAAGAACCGGGAATAATAATTATTTTTTATTTAACTTCTGACAGAAACTGGTTCTTTAGAGAGGATAATAATTTATGACGTATATCCAGATCAACACAAAATGAATCCTAAGCGGATCCAAGTCCTACAGAAAACCTGTGGGCTGAGCTGAAGACACGCATTCATACAGCAGCATCCAGAGCTACTGACAGTCCAGAGAAAGTACGTGAAGAGTAGCGGTCAAAGATCATTCCTCGTGCTCCAGCCGAGTGAAAACATTCATTTTTAAACTCTGGATTCTGAACTCAGCGAACCCACATGACGGGGTTTTTGCTGCTACATAAAAGATCAGCTTATTTTAAAACTTTTTTGTCACCTCTTTAACAGGGGCGCCAGTAAATGTGTCTGACACCACGGCACTGCGTGACTGAAGATCTTCCTCGCGCTGCAGGCTTATTTCCTTTTCCATGCCAGAGAGTATAACAGGATCAGCCTAAACAGCGCTGTTGTAATTTAACTTTCTGTATTAAAAGCCGCTACTGTTGGCAATCCAGTAATGCAATTACATCACTTTCCTTCACAGCTGATTCAATCTCTGGACTAAGAGTGCTTTAGGTTTTAGTTTGCTTAAAGCTTGACGTCGAACACGAAGACATTTGGAAAAACATCAATGTTGAAAAGATGCTACTGCTGACGGAGGGTTTGGGTTTTTCCCGGCGTGTATCTAGTTTTTCTAGATGATCTTATGAAAACGACAAGTTTAATTTCTACTCATTTTTGTAAAAATAAAAACACAAAGCAACAAACACAATTGTAGTTACCTGATCAGAAAAAGGCTAAGACTTTGCCTAAGAAAGTGTAAATATGAGTCAATTTTGTAATTTAAAAAGAAAAAAGTTTTATCCATGTCTGCAGCTCGTCCTCAGCACTGTAAAAAACTCCAGCTTAAGAAGTTTCTGTCAAAGTGAATGAAGTTTTTATTTCAACAGACAATATGAATTTGATTCTGATTATCCAAACTAAGTGTTTTTGTTCCCCTATTCATGCAGCTCTGGTTGACGCAGCTTGCAGCACCACGACCTGCTGATGGCGCCGCGCTGACTCTTTTAATTGCTCCGGGATTTGTGGTTTCACATCACTTCAGCAATCAAAGCCTTTGTCATTCAGTTGTTAGATATTCAAGCTTGTTAGCAGCAGCTTAGGCCGACCAAATACTACAACACACCAAGTTCGACCAACACAACGTGGTGCAAAAAGGTTGAGTTTGTTCACGTTTTGTTTTGGGCATGGT